TAATTGTTAGATTGATCTTTGCATCCCTGGAAATGTTCAGTTGGCTAGTTTGCCAATTGAATTCTTGATTGATTGTGGAGTCAAATGTTGTTTTGTATGTCACCCCAAAGTATACCTCTCTAATGTCTTTATTAGAGTCTTTCAGGTTTGGCTTCACAGTTATCATGTCTTTAATATGTGCGAGCTGCAATCATGTTTTAAAAGAAATTAGTAAACTTAATAATTTGAGGGTTAGTGCTCCTTCAACTTGTACAGTGATGCTGAATCCCTCTCTTGAGCAGTGGAAGATCTGATCAGTTTGCAGAAATGATGAGTTGTACCTTTGTAATCAATACTTATGCATCCTTTCCTCACCTGCCTGTGTACAATGACAAATTATTGTTTATTTCCTCTGTAAGATGTTTGTGGTAAGGATGTAAAATCCTGCTTAATTGGTTAACCAGTTAAACATTGTTTAATCGGTTAACTGATTAAAGAGGAGAAGGTGTGTGTGGGGGGGGAAGGGAAGCTAGAGAGGCGCTCCCCCCCCAAGTTAACTAGTTTAATCATTTACATCCCCCGCTTGTGGCCTCATTAGCTGATTGCGATGATAAGGAAATGTATCTGAGCCCAGGATGAAACTTATTTTGTAGATTTAAATGTTGTATGCTTAATATGCATGAGAAAAGATTACAAAAAGAAACGATATCAAACATTTGCTAAGAAGAAAAAGCATGAAATAATTCTTATAAAAAGATTTAAGGCTGACTTTTTTTTACTCTAGTAATCAGTATCTGAGGAACAATCTTGCCTTATTAATGGACTTCTTAGTACTTATAAGGTGCCATTTAAAATGGCTAATTCTGAATAATCAAAAGGATTTTTAAAAGCTTAGTAATCTATGGGCATTGCTAAATCAATATATGTAGCCGTCACTTAGGCATATGCACCATAGGATGTCTATTTTGTTAATTATCTCCCAGATCCTTTCAGAATAATCCTTTTTGCTGTTTATAGATGGAATACTGAAAATGTACTCTTGTAAATGGAATACAATGTCAAAATCACGAATTTTCAAGAATAATGAAGACATTTAATTACATTGTTTCTTGTCTACAAAATGTTTAAAATTGAAATTTAAAGTTTACTTGGAATTAAAGTTAAAAATATCCAATCATAAGTGTCAGAATAGTTATGAAGAAATTGTGACTTAAACATTTGATTCTGATCATAAAAATACAGAGCAGCAATACTTGTTCTAATTCTTTCATCTGGAAAAAGCTTGTTTTTTTTTCCCCCCCAATGGTTTCTTCGTGTAAAATAAATTGATTAACACTTACTACGTCACTTTTTGCTTTTTAACATTTATGTGTTGCACATATACACATTAAATCAGAAAGTTTTACTAAAGCAAAAAATTACAGAATCAATGGTCAAAACATGCTTCTGTGAAGAGAAAAGTTGAACTTTCTTCCAGGTGTTCAGATTTTAGTTAGGAGACTTTAGATTATAGGGTACATAATTTTTGTTTATTTTTCACAGGTTAGGGATGAAATGGAATTTGAGGCACATGGCTTCCTGTTCAACAGCAGTCTAGAGAGCCTTTCTTTCTGGTGTGCTAAATGTAGCATTTGAGGGGAAATTATACTGAGACACATTGTTGAATTGGGAGATGAGAAGATCTTTAGATCCCTGCAAATCTGTGGATATTCTCTTTACAGCTATGGATCATGTTTGCAGGTAGTGGATCATTGTGGACACAGGTTTTGTATTTGCGCAAGTCTTTAGAGATCCTTCCTCTCATGACACTGGTCTTCAGAATTAAAAAGTTGGAGAGTCTTTCCTATCCATTATATGGCATGGTATCACTGAGCTGCACTACTGATCCCACTTGTAAAAGTTATGCTCAAGACTGTTTCCCTGTGGTTAAGGCTATCAGTGCTATATAATGTATTCATTAGTACAGGCAGTCCCCAGGTTACGTACAAGATAGGGACTGTAGGTTTGTTCTTAAGTTGAATCTGTATGTAAGTCGGAACTGGCGTCAGCCGCTGCTGAAACGGTATCACTGAGCTGCACTACTGATCCCACTTGTAAAAGTTATGCTCAAGACTGTTTCCCTGTGGTTAAGGCTATCAGTGCTATATAATGTATTCATTAGTACAGGCAGTCCCCAGGTTACGTACAAGATAGGGACTGTAGGTTTGTTCTTAAGTTGAATCTGTATGTAAGTCGGAACTGGCGTCAGCCGCTGCTGAAACCGATCAGTTTCAACAGCGGCTGAATCTGGACGCCAGTTCATACAGATTCAACTTAAGAACCCCAGGCGTCCCCAAGTCACCGGCTGCCGAA